ACTAAATTGAGAATTCCCACCTATATGTTTTGCTAGTGCTGAGATTTCTCATAACTTTCCAAGCAGTATCTGAAAATTCAGAGCGTGGTATTACAGAAGTGGCAGACCCTGTCTCTGACTTCTCTTTGAGCTACGTTCCTCCTATGTGTAAAAAAGAAAAGTACAAATACTCTGCATTTGTGGTCTTTTAAAATAAATATAGACAGTTTTAACCTTCCTGATGGATTCTTAAACTTCTACCTTGTCTGTTTTTATTCACTATCTATTTCTTTTGGAGTTCCTGCAGCAGGGCTAATTTTAAATACTTGGATCTCTGAGTGGAGCCTGCTGTTCTTTATGATAGTAGTTTTTGCCCAGGCTGCCAAAGTGACTACCCACGTGTCACTGTGTCATAACATCTCTTGTGTGCTTCCATCGCTGTAGGTACAGCAGCCTGCAGTATCAGATCAGGCTCTAGGCAGCAGGTAGTCTTAAGCTTTCTCTCTTTTTGCATGCTGCAGAGTAATTGGAACCCCAATGTCTTATTCAAAGTTTCTCCAAAATGGTAATAATCATTAATTTAAGTCAAATTCAGAAACTGTGTTATGTTTCTCAAAGCACAAATATTTTACAGTAACATACCTCTTTTTGAGAATTGGTTGTTTTGAGACAGTTTCCAAGACCTTAGTAAATCTTGTGGCTTTAGTAGGATTTACTGACATCTGAGATGCATGTTGATTATAATTAGATGACACCTTCATTTTTCATGCACTTTTAATTTCGTTTTCTTCTGTTACCATATTTTTATGTAAGTGGCATGTCTATTATTAAGCTATCAAACAGTTGATTTTCCAAAGAGCTAGAAGTTTAAAACGTCCATACTTGTTTGCCATTTTTTAGTCCTAGTGACTTTTTAGTTTCAATTTTTGTTTCAATGTATTCCTGTACTGAAATAAGATCTTTGTTGCAATTTGGTTGTCCTTTTCTTTTGTGTGTGTGTAGCAGATGCGAAAGGAGGAAAAGCCTGAAGAAAAGAGTACTTAACATGTATAAAATGTAAACTTTGTTGGTACTTCTAAATACCAATTTACAAATGCAGACATACCTATGGCAATTCTGATTGCTTCTGAAACACTTGTGGCAGTGGAGACTTTTGAGCATCTAGCAGGCAACTTAAAATTATTTGATACCGAAATTTGGATTATAATTGGATAATTATAGGCAAGTAGCCTAAGTCTTTAAGTAGCTTGCACATGTTAAGCAGTCTACAGTCTTTGAGGCCATGATATGTGTATTTGTGAGGTACCTGTAACTGTCTTACAAATATGGATACTTGCATGTTGTATGGTAAACCAGTAACAAAGCAGTGAGTTGACCTGAGAGTACTAATTTGCAAAAAACGGTTCCACTTATTCAGTGTTACTGCCTCCTGAGGTTAGGCTGACTAGTAAGATGAAAATCATGGAATATCTGTGGTGTCCTGCTGGGATCATTGTTTCAGATTATAGTTCAAGCAGGGGATTTCAAAAACCTTACAATGCTGAGAATAAAATGAGCTCTTTTGGACTGTAGTTGGAATCTGTGGCTCTTGTGGCCCCAAGGCACTTGCTGTATCTCCCCAGCTGCTGGCTGACCATGACTTCCATTGGAACCCATCAGTAGTGTGGCTGAATCCTTCCGGCTGGCTACTAATTCATATTCCAACCCACGGAAGTGTGCATTATGCTTGGGGTGGTGCTTCTTGCCTTCTACTAGAAGGAGAAGAGGTGAGTAAAACTGGACAAGAACCTGCACACGTCAGTTACAGACCGTGGACTACAAAACGACCCAGATAAAGTTACATTTTACAGTCACTTTTTCAATCTCACAGGAAAAAAACTCGGGGTAAGAAACCAAATACAAATTTTGCCAGTAAATATCACTCTGTATTTCTTCTCCTTTCTTTTGGCCACCCATGCGTGCCAATCCTTCTTTCTAAAATATAACTCCAAGAAAAACTGACTTTTGAAGACTCTTGGTGTGGTTTGGAAAGATGGCTTTGTTTTCTCGGTGAAGTAGTGTTTGGACTCTGGTATCTTTAAGCAGTGTGCAGCTCTGTGTTTTATTTAAGAGTATTGTGTGAGGTGTTAAGTCTGAGAGGCTCAGTGGCAATGAGGATGTGAACAGTCATTCCTGGGAGCAAGTTTTAGTGGTAGGCGTTCATAAAGTTTGAGGCAGAAGGGACGGTGAGATCGTGTGGGTTGACCTGTAAGTCACGAGTTGCCACATAACCTTTCTTTTCAATCTGGTGACTTCTGTCTAACTTGAGGCATCTTCTGTAATAATGCCCAGTCTTGTTCAAAGACAAAATGTACAGAATCAGCTGCTATCCTGTTCACTTCCTTCAGAGATTAACCACTGTTACTATCAAAAATGTCTGCCTTACACTGTAAATTTGCCTGCC